TTACTTGAAAAAAATATAACCCAGAACTCTTTCCAGTAGAAGGATTCTTGCAATCTTTTTACACCAAGAACTCAATTCATGATATCTATACAATACTTAACTTTTTTTTTTCTGCCTACATTGTCAGTCTCTTCAATTTAGCTGTCTATCTGGCAACAGGCAGCTTGTGTATGTGATTTAAAATTTTTTTAATGAAAAGAAACATTTTACAAAATCTAAAATCAAAGAGAAATGAATTACTTGAAAAGTACTTTCCAAATCTAACACTAAGGCATTTCTTTCATTAGATAGCTTACAAACTTCTGGCTGTAAGCTTTTCTTCTTGATAATTACTCCTCCAAATCTGTTGTTTGTACATTTTAATTCATCATAAATATCTCTGAGGATATGTTAGAAATTAACATATTTTACTTTTCTCTGAACATTTCCTAGCATAATTCATATGCCAGAAATGAATAGTGACAGTCCCAACAAGTAGCAAATGCTTTAGCCTAAGGCCTTCCCAATGGTTGTGTCTGAACTCCAAGCCCTTCTTGACTCCACCCTCAACACCCACAACCCGCCTCACCATCCCTCCACCTCAGCCTTCTGATTGATTTTTCTGAATTCACTCTTGCTTTCTGCAATCTGTTTCTCATATGTCACTCCCTATTTAAATCCCACTAATGGTCCAATTACCCGTGGGATAAAAACATTAATCCTCACTGTGGTCTCTAAGGCCTGACATGATCTGGCTCCTACCTACCTCTTTGACCTAATTGTCCAATTGAAATAAGATGTGGTTGACAAATATGAGACATATATATAATTTTAAATTTCTAGTAGCCACATTAAAAAACAGAAACAAATGATATTGATGTTATTAATGTATTTCATTTAACCCCCCAAAATATAAACTATTATTTCAACATGTAATCAATATTTTAAAAAATGAGATATCTGTGAATATAATTTTACTTCCTCCTTTCCAATCAGGAGGTCTTTTACTTCATTTTTCTTGCCTTACTGTCCTGGCTAAAAACCTCAGAATGGACATCCTTGCTTTGTTCCTGATCTTGGGAGAAAAGCTTCATACTATTAAGTATAATATTAAATATGTGTTTTTCATGAAAAGCCCTTTATCAGGTTGAAGAAGTTCTCTTCCCTTCCAAGTTTGCTGATAGTTTTCAAAATCAGGAATGATGTTGAATTTTGTCAAATGCTTTTTCTGTATCTACTGAAATGATCATGTCATTACTCTTCTTTAGCCTGTTTACTATGATGAGTTATGTTGATTTTTGAATGTTGAACCAGTCTTGTATTCTTGGAATAAATTCCATTTGGTCATGATGTATTTTCCTTTTTATGAATTGTTGGATTTAATTGGCTAAAATTTTGTTTAAATTTTTTGCATCTATTTTCATGAAGGATACTGGCCTGTAGTTTTCTTTTTTCATAATGTCTTTGTGTGGCTTTGGGATCAGGATAATGTTGGCTTTATAGATCAAGTTGGACAGCTTTCCCCTCCTTCAATTTTCTGAAAGTCTGCCTATACTTGGTATTATTTCTTCCTTAATTATTTGGTAGAATTCGCCACAGAAGCCATCTGGGCCTGGTGTTTTCTTTTTGAGAAAAAAATGTGAGTTAATACATGTAAAGTAACTAGAACTGTGGTTGGCTTATAGGAGGTGCTGTTAGCTGTTATTTTTAAAAAATGCATCTTATATTTTCAGTTAAAACTTATAAATGTTTACGACAGAAATTAGAAAATATTTTAGAGTTTTAAAGAAGAAAAAATCACAGTAATGTTACTATCTAAAGATCACTATTAATATTTTAATGTATTCTTCAGTCTTTTCTACAGATAATGTTTGTTTATATTGTTATTGTTTATATTGGCCTGTACCCAATTTATTAAATTAGCATTAGATGAACATTTCCCATGTCAATAGTTCTTAATAAGTATAATTTCAAAGGTTATATATACTCCCTTAAATGGTCATACCATAATTTATTTAACTATCATTTTGTATTTTTAGGATTGTTCTACTTTCCCTCCACAGTAGATCCAAGCATCTCTTTCCTGCACTTCCATATATACTTGTATAAACACACATGCAAACCCTCAGAATATTCCCCCCAGGCCTTCCCTTTATGGTACTGATCACATACACTGGTAACAGTTAATGTTTATAGTGTGTTTACTATGTACCAGGCACTGTAATAAGGGCTTTACATATTACATCTCAATTAAAAGTAGGTACCATTTTATCACTCCTATTTAACAAACAAGGAAACTGAAGCACCACGATGTCAAGCAACTTGCCCACTATCACCCAGCTAGGGAATGTGAAAGCCAAGAAAGGCCATTGGATTTCACAGCCCACATGACTAACTACCGTGCAACAGTGCCTCTCAGCTTGTACCTTTAGACTTTTGATATGAATTCCATTCCACACCTGAGTTGCTAACCCTGAGATGTTGTTTGAGTTCTTGCCCAACTCCCATGCCCTGACCATGTGCTCTCCACCAGAATTTTGGGAGCATTCCTTCCACTTATTATACATTTCTTGCTCTTATAGCCATTTATAATTTTACTGCTAGCTCCTCCAGTCAGCCAGTTAGAGCATTCATAATCTCAACTGGAAACTGGGCCATATCATTTGATAAAAGGATTCCTTTTCCTACTTTGTAAATTTGTTTTCATGAAAATAATGATATGTTTTAAACGAATCACTATACACTCAATTTTTTTTTTTAAAGATTTTATTTTTTTAGAGAGCAAGCGAGAGAGAAACAGCATGAGAGGGGAGAGGGTCAGAGGGAGAAGCAGGCTCCCCGCTGAGCCGGGAGCCCAATGTGGGACCCGATGTGGGACTCGATGTGGGACTCGATCCCAGGACTCCGGGACCATGACCTGAGCCAAAGGCAGACGCTTAACCATCTGAGCCACCCAGGCGCCCCACTATACACTCAATTTAAAGACTTTATTGAAAAGAGTAAAATGAGATAAAAATGGAGACTGCCCTAGAAAAGGAAAGATATACCAATAAAATGCAGCGGGTTGTACACACTGGTAACAAAAAAATGTGCAGGTTGCCTAGAACACTAAAAGGAACAGGAGATAAAAGAATTGTCATTTATTAATTGTAATCATCAAAAAAAGTAATATTGCTGCCTTTGTCTTTGTCTTTGAAAATGTATGTTTTGTGTTGAGAACTGCAGTATGGTTTCAACAGCTTTTTAATGGCTATATTCTAGTAAATTAGGGTAGGAAGAATTTATTACCAGAAAAGCCTTTGTGTGTGTTCTGCTCAATTTCTGAATCTTTCAGTGACAGTGTATTTGTTTTGTTTTTGTCTTGTCTTTAACAAAATAGACTATGCTCAATAAACAGATCTTTTTTTTTTTTTTTTTCCATTTAATTCCTTTCGAGTGCTGGTCCCAGTTCTCCACAGTTACTTCCCAGGAGGAAAATGGCATTAGAACAACCTCCTTCAGGAGCAAGCCTCTGGGTTTAAGGCCCCTGTCCACTTCCTCGCCGCTCTTCCTGTACCCCTTGCTTTATCCTATCCCAGTAGATCTGCCCACAGCTGGGCACCCCACTGAACTCAGATGACATGAAGCGGAATAGTTCTCGCTTCCTCGGCTCAACATAAGTTTAAGGTAGCCAGCGTCCCTTTCCAAGTTCTGTGTTTTTTTGTGTTGTTTTGTTTTTCTGTCCGTTCCCCCTAAATATGGGCAGTTTAGTATCGATGGGTCTCTGGAAGTGCAGCTATCAATCACGAATCACAAAGAGAGTGCAGATACAACTGTAATCCGTAGCCATTTTTGGACAGAGAAAGAACCAATTTCGTGAACTTCCCAACGTCAATGGGTCTAAGATTTTTAAGTTGTGAGAATAAACTCTGTCAGCACCCATTATCCCTTGTCTGGGAAGTTTTAGGGAGGGGTAACCTCAAGCTCAAGCTCGTCCCATCTCTCGCTTGCCCGATGGCAGATTTCAGGTTCTACCTCGAGTTGAATGAGAATCGAAAGAAAAGCTACCACAAGGGAAGAGGAAAAAAGCTGGAGGATGCGGGCATCGATCCCGCTACCTCTCGCATGCTAAGCGAGCGCTCTACCATTTGAGCTAATCCCCCACCGCTGGGCACGAGCCGTTATCTCTTCCTCTAGAGAGAGGTCAGAACATTTAGAAACGGAAACTATTTTTTTTATGATGTTCTTGATCTTGCCTTACAGTTAAGGCCAAGGTAACAAAAACATCCACTCCTCTCCTTCGAGCCGGAATCGAACCAGCGACCTAAGGATGGCCACGGGCGCAGCGCCTACAGTCCTCCGCTCTACCAGCTGAGCTATCGAAGGGAGTGGTGGGGCAAGCTCTCAGCTTTCCTTCATAATTTTTACCGTCTAAGCTTTGTGTGCTTTGTACCGCGTTTCTCTAGTGACTCCCAGGTTTGTTGACCATGAGCTATCTCCTTCCAGCGAAACCCGCGTCTCCTCACGGCAGCTGGAACGAGCGCCCGCGTTGCCCACCAGCCACGGAGCTCTGAGGAAAAGGGCAGGCGGCTGGCTCGGGACTTTTCTCTGTGTGCTCAGGGGACTCGCGAAACGCCGAAGACGATTTGGAGACAAGCAGAAGGCCGTGACCCGGCAGCCGCCCCGCCGAGCGCAGACTCACTTCGGCGTTTGTTACTAGGACCGCACGTTGCGGGGATTCACAAAAGATTTCACACGGGCGATACTGCCGTAGGCCAAAACTGGGGCGAAACTGCAAGCACTTCCAATTGCTCAATTGCTCGTTGGAATATTATGTGTATTAGGGAAGGGGCCCGTGGAACGGGCCGTAAATCATACAAAGTTGGTATTAAAAAAGAAAAAAAAACAAAACAAAACACTGTCTCCTTCGAGCCGGAATCGAACCAGCGACCTAAGGATGTCTCTTGCCAGGAAGTCAGCTACAGTCCTCCGCTCTACCAGCTGAGCTATCGAAGGGACGGGTAGATCTCTCGTGCCCCTTGAAATTCAAACTCAGAAACCCGAGCAAGCACAGCCGCGGGTTAGAAGTCGAATAGAGCATGCGTAACTGGGGAACGGGGAGGGGAATGAGTAAATGACTGTGTATTGTTTCACGCGTGCGCAGAAAGACAACCCAGCGGCCCCTCGTGGGATCCGGACGCACCGGGGAAAGGGGCCCCCTTCTCTTGTGTCCGGGGCTGGTGGTGCTGAGACTCAGAGAATTCGAGGCCACGTTCCTTTACTTTTCCTTTACTACCCCACATTGGGGATGGCTGTCGAGTGTGGCCTTACCACTCTGTAATCTGTACCTCCCCTCAGTTTCTCCGTATGTGGAGGGCCAGTGGCGCAATGGATAACGCGTCTGACTACGGATCAGAAGATTGTAGGTTCGACTCCTGCCTGGCTCGAGTTTTTGTCACAATAGATTTTAAAAACCAAAGATTATTACTTCTTTAGGGTTCTTCAAATCACAAACGCTAAGAATATTTTACCGCACTTTGAACTCAGAAAGCTGTTGCGCGTCGTTTCCAGAACCACCCCGTCGAACTCCCGAGCGCTAACGAGACGCTGCCGCCCCCGCGGGGGCCGCGCTGAGGAAAGCTGGGGGTGAGCCGCTCAGGGACTCCAGGTAGGAAGCCAGCTGAGGGAGCCGGGAAGGGGAGCCTGCAGGCCCCGTGACGAAGCTGGTTGAAACCCAAGGCTGCTTCTGCTTCTGCTTCAGCTTCCTTCTTCGGGTCTTCTAAGACAGCTGAAGACTTCAGTCACTGAGTCACTAGAGGAAGTGCCCACGCACACCCCCGACATTGCAGAGGAAAGAAAGTTAAACACTGTCTTTTTGATCCGGTTCCTATTTACATTGCATCTTAACAAGGGTCCTGAGCCCCTCCTCGGTTGTAAGCACAGCGTAAAAACCGCCTAGTGACTTGGGTTCTGCCCTCAAGGGTCTTTGAACCAACAGGATGTAATGTGGGTTTGAACAAATTGAGTTTTATTTTGAAGTTATCGGTCTTATTTGTGGGGAGTAGTTTAGAATTATCTCTTAACTCTCCCCAGGTAAGACAGCAATTCCCCAAAGTAAAAGCTTTAATGTGAAATTGGGGAAGAGATAAATTAGGGAAGAGAAAATGTGGAGTTAGGGGAAAGTGGGAAAGCAGCTTCCTTAAGGCCATGCAAACGGTTAAAGGAAGCTAAAAATTGGGGGGTCAGGGGACACAAGTACAGACCATTTGAACAAAATGATGGTGGGTTTTATTTTTGTTTCCTAGTGAACAGTTTGCCATTTTTGAACGTAACAAGCTGATATATGTTTAAAATTACATAGTGTTTCTTTCTGAGAGTTAAAAAAAATTACCTCTGTGGGAAGTTGGGGACATATGTTGCACCCTTTCCCCCAGGTTTGTTGACAGAACCTTGAAAATTAGGCCGCAAGGAAAGAGCCTTCATCTTATTCCTACCTTCTCCTCATTTTACAGGTAAGGGGTTTATTATTTGCTGAGGTCAAGGTCATGGCCATCATTGCACTGTGGGAGAAACTGGCTTCCTGGTCTAACCCCTTCTTGCGCTTTTTCCGCAGCAGCCAGCCAGAGTAACACCCTCCAAGAGGGCCAAGATGGTGTGTGATTTCTGGCTCTCTTACTGTGACAGAAATTCACACAGAGCTAATGTAAATCAGAGACATTTATTGTAAGGTACAGGGGTGTCCCAGGGAAACCAAGAAGGAAATGAAACTGGGCTTCCTTAAGGTTTTTCTCTCAGTGCCTCTCTGTGCCTCACTATATTTCTCTAGTGCTCACAGTTGGCAACATGGTTTCCCCCTCACAACCTATTGCTGTAGATCAAATGTCTTTATCTCTCCCTGCCACACACCCAAATTCATGTTGAAAATCTAATGCCCAAGGTGATAGTATTAGGAGATGGGGCCTGTGAAGGGTAATTAGGAGAATTAGGTAATTAGGAGAAATCCCTCCTCCCCTCCACTGTGTGTGGGCACAGTGAGAAAGAAGTTCAGCAGTCTGCAACCTTGGAAGAGGGTCTTCACCAGAACCTGATCATGCTGGCACCCTGGTCTTGGATTTCCAGCCTCCAAAACTGTGAGAAACAAAATATCTATTGTTTATAAGCTACCCAGTCTGTGGTATGTTGTTACAGCAGCCTAAATAGACTAAGATGTCTATCAACCAGAGACTCTCTTCTCTTTCTCAATCCTGACTGAAAAACTCTTCTTTGTCTGGCCTCAGTTAGATGCTCACCCTTGGTCCCCGAACTGTGTCCAGGGGTCAGGATTACATGCAGCCATCAGGGCGGGCTCACCTATAGCCATATAGGTGGGCACGTATGATTGCCCTCCTTCCTGGGATTCCAGTGAAGAGCTAATAAAGACAAAAAGAAAAAAAGTGTATGCAGCATGAGAGACAAAAGTAGTTGCAATGAGCAAACCTGAAATTTTAAACAATTTCTGGGATGTGGAATACAAATGAGGTTATGTAGACCCATAACCCGGAATGGAGAAAAACACAGCTCAGAGTGCACATTCTAGAAGCTAGCAGACAAAACTACTCTCCCCATGGAGCTCGCAAGAGGCTCCAGGCACAGAGGCAACAGCACAAAGGTCAAAGGCCCACAACATTTTGCAGCTGCTGCTGCATTTGTCCCAGGTGGAGCTGCCTGGAGAACTGCTTAAGCAGAGTAGATTAGCCTAGGGAGAGCCCAGGTGGTGAATACAGGGCTGGGGAGATAGGCATAGTAGAGCCTAATAATAATAGACATGGAGAGAAAGAAAGGCTACCTCACCCCACTCTCAGATAGCAACTCTCCTTGAGTTAGTAGTTTGGGGGATTGGAGGGCAGCATGGCTATTTCCTCCCGTGCACCATTAATGTAAAAGCCTGCATGTCCACAGGACCAGCCATTTTACAGACACAAATCAGTGTAGTCCTTTATTCATGAATATGAACAAATGTCTACCAGACATTTGAGAGGAAACAACTTAAAAAAGAAAGTCCAAGATAAACACACAGCAACTGATTCAAGAGGAAACAGATAATGCAAGGAAGAGTACAGAACTGTTTTTTGAATTGATATTTAAAAAGGAGCAATGAGAAAATAGTTGAGTTCTTGAAAACTAAAAGTTTGCCAAAGTGAAAAATAACATATTGGTCATGGCTAAAGATCAATTTTGGAGATATAAAAGATAGAATGGAAAATACCTCCCAGGAAACAAAAATATAGAGAGCAGAAAATCTAAAAGCATGGGGGATAGGCCCAGAAGACACAAGGCTTTAGAGTTCCAGAAAGAGAAATAACAGAAAATGCATGGGAAAGAGTGGAAGAAAGACATTAGTCATCAGATCAAAAGTGCCATCCAAATATAATGAATGAGAAAAACCATGCCTGGACAGCCTAGTGAAATGTAAAAGCACTGAGGATAAAGATGAAATCCTAAAGGCTTTCAGAGATGGGGATAACAAGCAAAAAACAGGCTAACTACAAAGGAAAGAGAATCCGATTATAATCAGACTTCTCAGCAATACTGAATGCTAGAACACAGTAGAGCAAGACCTTTGAAGTTCTGTGGGGAAATAATTTTGAACCCAGAATTGTATAATCAATCAAAGTAGCAATCACCTATGAGAACAAATAGGACACACTTGTGAGTGTCATAAAATTTAAATCTTTTGAAATTTAAATCTTTTAAATTCTTTTCTGAAACAAAAAATAAACATTACTTGAAGATGTTATACTGATGATGTTCTCTAGGAAGCAAAAGCTGACACAAAACCAGAGTACAGAATTATAATGGGGAGTAACGTCCTGTGAATGCAAAAGGGGAGGACACAGTATTATGTAGTATTAGGACGCAGCAATGCAGACCTGATAGTCTCTGCCTTGGTACCTGCAGAGCGAAGATTTCTCTTTAGAGGACTCCTGAGTTGGATAGGAATGACAAGGTTTTCATACAATCACTTTGCTCAGTCATTGGCCAAAGGCTGAAAACCTCCTCTGGAAAGCTGAGGTGGACCCTAGAGGAGTTAACACCTGGAGGCTCTCAGTTAACCATCCTCCTTGAAGCTGGGCAGTTCCTTCTTGAAAGGCAATCTGGCAATCTAGCAGCAAATCTCTGTCTGCCACAGATGTACTTCAGCACCACCACCACCACAACAAAGAGGGGTGGGGGGGAGAAAGGATACAAGAAAGAGGAGAACATAGGATTTAAGAAAAAAGCGAACTGACCAAGGAACTTAAATCCCAGGTTGGCAGTGATGCAGCAGACCAAGAAAGCAATCAAGACAAATTAGGAAAAAACAAAAAGGGTCAGAGGGCTCTGTGAAGATGATCTCTCAAGAAGAAAGTGGATTCTTTCACAATAGTAATGTCATTAAGGACCAGGAAGACTTTAGAGATACTGTAAAACATGTCATTTTTGCAAGCCAAAGATAATTAGAAAATTTTGAAAAAAAAATTACAAAGAGCTTTATAAAGAATTCATGGTCCAAATATAAAGCAACTAAAATATGGTACAATTTTGAGAGATTGATGGCATATATTATGGACTAATTTTCCCCTACCCCTCTCCAAATTCTAGTACTAAAGCCCTAACCCCCAGTACCTCAGAATGTGACTATATTTGGAGATAGGGACCTTTAAAACGGTAATTAGATTTAAATGAGGTCATTAGGGTGGGCCCTTATCCAATGTGACTAGTGTTCTTAAGAGACTAGGACACAGGAGAAACATCAGACATGTGCATGCATAGAGACAACCATGTGAACACACAGCAAGAAGGTGGCCATCTGCAAGCCAAGGAGAGAGGCCTCAGAAGAAACCAAACCTGCTGAAACTTTGATCTTGGACTTCTAGCCTCCACAACTGTGAGAAAATACATTTCTGTTGTTTAAGCCACCCAGTCTATAGTATTTTTTTGAGGCAAACCTAGGAAACTAAGACAGAATTGGTGAGGAAAAAGAAATTTGCTTTCTTTTTTGCATTCTTTGGTATTGTTTACATTTTTGTTTAACTATATGCAAGTTATTTTATATATGTGTAGGCAGACAGTTTCATAATTGTCATCTAATAAAAATTGCTTAGAAGTGAAGGAACTGATGACCACAGATATGAAATGACTTACCTTCAGGCACAGAGTTGAGTAATGGCAGATGAGAAATCAGATCTCCTAAGTCACCAGCTAGGATTCTCCTTAGCGCTACTTGGTCTCCCTGTCCTCAACTGGACACTTGAGTTAGACTGGACTGCTGGACTTCTTCCTAGGAGGAAGGAGGTTGAAAGGCAGTTTCTGATGTTAGGCAAGGTTAGACAATGACCAGGACATTCTGGGAGTAGCAGTGTTCCATTTATTAAAGGGAACTCTCTTCTTACCTCTAGAACACAAAGATCAAATCCCTAAGACTTGTTAACTAACAGTGGTGCTCCACAAAAGTTATTTACGATACCCTGAGATCTGAAGGAAAAAACATTGTTCAACTTGAAAAATACCTTACACATATGCACATGAAAGAACTTTCAAGTTCTTCCTTTCAGTTGAGGAAACCATTCCACAGATCAGGAAGCTCTACCAAGAAATGTTAAATAATTTCTTCAGGATGATTCTCCAGATTGGGGGAGCAGGGCTGAACTCAGGTTTACTTAGTGCTCATCCATGGCCTTCTGTAAATGTGTACTATCTCCAAGAAGGCTTCCACAAGATTGAAATGAGAACACTTGCTTGTTGTGAGAAACCACAGAGATAACATTTCCAAAGTCAGAAAGGGAACCATTCTGGAGAACTCCAGGGGAGATACAGTGGATTTGTGTTATTTGCGGTAGTTAGGTTCTATACAGTCACCACAAACAGTGGTTTAGTGAATACTGAACCATTGCTCCCAGGGGAAATACAAGGTTAAGTTCCTGTGGGCCTCTGTTCACAACATTTTTCTTAAGTGATCAGCATGTGTTTTATGTGTTACTGTTTAGATATCTTATTTAAGATATATTATTATGAATGACCATGAAATAAATTTTAGCAAGTAGGGAAATTTGCAAAATATGGAATCTATGAATAATGAGGATTAATAGTATTATCAGGCCAAACTAAATCTTGAATTACATGATGAATAACTATGTGATCTTAATGAGACTAGCCCTCAGGCCCCTACCTCCATTAAGGAGGTTAATGGGAACAATTTGTACTACAGGCAGATTGCAGGACTGACCCATCCAATTCCCAGGGCTCCATAAGACTTCAAGTTATCTGCAGTCTTTCACACTCAAGAAAAGTAGGACTGTCATATTGTTCATACAGTGTCTCTCCCAGAGGTATGATTTGGGGGGGGCCAGGCTGGGAAAAGATGTTGCAGGGAGATTTGCTTCATAGATTCATATTTATTCCTTTACTAAACATTTACTCAGTTTCTACTATGTGCCAGGTACATGTGTTCTGGTGCTGGGGATGCAGCAGTAAGCAAAACAGCCACAAATTTCTACTCTGATGGAATACACATTTTGAAGGACAGACAGACAATAAGTTGACAATAAATGATATATAGTAGGCTCAACAATGGTGAATGCCAAAGGAAAAGATAAAGCACAGGTGTATCCAGAGTGTGGAGGGTACTGTGCTTTTCACAATGGCAAATTGACATAGACTACCAGAAACAAAATAAATTGCTGCAAAACACACACACACATTTATTTTAAATGGTGGGAGACCAAGTTCCAGTTCCAGTTCCTTTAGGAAAAATTTGTTTGCCAAGTTATATTTCCTATGAAGAAATAAAGGTTTGCTAATTTAGATATCTGACATAAATAATGGTATGTTTTTACTAATAGAAACTTCACAATTTGTACCTTATTTTGTACAATGGAGAAAAATTGACTATAATTTCAATTTTATTATGAATAGATAATTAAAGTCATGAAAAGATTATACATCCTATTGTATGAGTGATATTGAAATGCCTTGCTTTTATATATAATAGTAAATGTTCTCATCCCAATCTTATGGAATCAGAATAATGGAATAGAATTATTAACTTGGATTTATAGACCTATGGTATTCACCTTTAGTGGGGGAGGGACAAATTCAAGTATATTGAGTATAAGCACTGTTTTGATATTAAATAACTAGTTGTATCTAACATTACAGAATTCAAATGTCTTATGGTGCCATGGTGGTATAGTAATTAAGCAGATAGACCCTAGAGCTAGGCTACCTGAGTCCAAATGCTGGTTCTCTTCTTACTAAAGTTACAGGTTAATTAACAGCTCCAATCTTCCCATCTGTGAAATGAGAAATAATAGTACCAACTTCATAGGTTTGCTGTAAGGCTTAAGTGAATTAATGTGTATTAAGCACTTAGAATAGTGTCTGGCACATAGTAAGTGCCCTATATATGCTTGCTATTTAAAAATATATTAAAAGTTTTCTTAGCACTGTCTATAATCTTGGAAAATTATGACAGGAACTTTACCAGAATTTTGTCAGGATTGTTTACGAATATCAACTATTCTACAATCACCTTTAAAATTAAAATGAAAATCCAATTTTTCACTCACTTGGTTAATGTTGCAATTATTCACTGGTCAGACAAGAGAAAGTGGCAGACAGCTACCAAGGCCACTAAGGCTTCCCAAGTAAAGAAATGCTGCAGGGAGAGGGAGGAGGAGGAGGAGGAGGAGGGAAGAGGAAGAGGAAGTAGAGACAGAGGAAGTATTTGGGAATTTGCTCTTTCAGATTTGGGGGTTTTGAGTGTTTGAAGATATGCTTTTGAAGAAGGCACTGAGGATTAAGAAAGGGTGATTACCTAGAGGAATCTTAAGCTACAAAGGGCAGTTAAAGAAAAAGGTACATAATAAATAGAGTATTCTTTTTTTAAGATTTTATTTATTTAACAGAGAGACACAGCAAGAGAGGGAACACAAGCAAAGGGGATGGGAGAGGGAGAAGCAGGGAGCCTGGTGTGGGGCTCGATGCGGGGCTCGATGCAGGGTTCAATGTGGGGTACATAATAAATATTCTTTTTTTTTTTAAAGATTTTATTTATTTGACAGAGAGACACAGCAAGAGAGGGAACACAAGTGGGGTGGGGGGGAGACGGAGGAGCAGGCTTCCCACGGAGCAGGGAGCCCAGTGTGGGGCTCGATGCGGGGCTCGATGCGGGGCTCGATGCGGGGCTCGATCCCAGGACCCTGGGATCATGACCTGAGCTGAAGGCAGACGCTTAACGACTGAGCCACCCAGGTGCCCCAATGGAGTATTCTTTTGAAAATAAGAGAACTCTGGGAAGGAGTTGAGCAGGGAGGTGGAGAGGGTTAGTTTTCAGGAAGGACAAATGTAGTTGGAAATACAAGATCACCATGGAGAGGCAATATAGTGCAGCTATTAATACTATGGATTTGAGGACGGGCCTGCTCTACCCCTTACTGGCTGGGTGATCTTGGCCAAGTTACTTAAACTTTCTGTGGTTTAGTTTGTTAGTCTGGAAATGGGAAACGATAATGCTGATAGTACTTGTCCCATAGATAGTGTATTAAGTGCATATATAAATATAAAATATATAAAGCTAGGAAAAAGCTCTTAGGGCAGTGTCAGGTACTAAGTACCATGACTATTGGTTATTATTGTTCATTTGACAGATTTATTTTTAATTCATGAAAGAATAAATCATCTTGTTCAAATACAAATGCTCCTGTGATCCTAAAAGCGATCACTTCCCACCTCCTTTCAAATCCTTTAGTTTGGGGGATGGGATGTGCTAGAGAAGAGGTAAGAGAGAACAAAGAAAAGCAGAAGAGAATCAGGGAAGTGAATCGTTTTTATTTTCTATTAAAACTTTACCCTCTTACTCAGAATAACCTGTATCTTTCAGGTTTTGGTAGCTAAAATTTTACTTTCTGAGTATGCTATATATTGAGTTTAAAAAATAAATCCCAGGGGCACCTGGGTGGCTCAGTCAGTTAAGCAGCTGCCTTCTGCCTGGGTTATGATTGGGGGGGCAGGGGGTCCTGGGATTGAGCCCCATGTCACGTGCCCTACTTGTGGGGAGTCTGCTTCTCCCGCTCCCTCTGACTTTCCCCCACCTGCAAGTGTGTGCTCTCTTAAATGAATAAATAAAAAATCTTAAAAAAAATAAATTCCATGCTAAATACAATAAACTTTTAGATTATATGTATATGTATATTATATATATATGTATATGTATATGTATAAAATGAAGGCATTTTATACAAAACTGTTATGCTAATAAGTTAATCTATATATTGATTATATGTTTCAGTTCCTGATGCCTTCATTGTTCCTCTTAAACCTAGGTTAGTTAGCTTTGAAATATTGCTTTATGCAATTATAATAAATAATCCTGAAAAATGCCAGTTTAGTAAATAGCTAATGTATACATGCCTGAATAGATCATTTTTTTAAAAAAATTAAGGAAATGTTGGAATTTCATTCCCAAAGTGAAAATCTGCACTAAAAATCTCCCCCCAATTATTTTTCACCAGAAAAGAAAGTGCATTGCAGATCTCTGAGAAGAGATGAATCTGGACAACATTTCAGGAGTGAAGATTATTTGGGTACCAGAGCAGCTTACTCAGAAGCATAAAACCTTCACCAGGTAAGATCCCCTCTTCCTGGGTCTGGGAACAAGGATGTACCTGGGGGGCTCTCAGGCATTGAAGAAGTTGATAATAAGATTTTCAGCTATTAGAAAGCTGGGTTGGCAGCCCCAGTAGCGAGCAGAATGTGTTAACAGCTGTCCTATTACTGTTGATTTGATTCTGGGAATTTAGTTTTGCTTCTTGGGGACAGCCCTGAACAGCATGAAAATTCCAGAAAGTTGTATCACTCCCATTCATTTGATGCTGAGCATGTTTAGGTCTCTTTTTGGAGAAAGGCTTTTCTCAGAAATGACATATGTTGTAAGAATTAATCAACAGGTATTTATTAGTTCCTACTTCGTTTTTAGCACTGCACAGAACTTACTCTGACTGTAAGATGTTATTCTGCAAATCACTGCTAATTTGAGCCATCTACAGTTTGGAAGTGGCTTTGTTATACAGAAACTGGTTATACATGATTTAATCTAAATTTCTGGCCCTTTGTAGTCTAGAACTGCTCAGAACTAATATACAGGTAAATGTTATTTAGGTGCTTAGGAGGAGTGCAGGCTGGAAAAAGAGGGGTTTTGGAGAGGAGGACTTTGTTTCTCAAATAAAGGTTTTTCTTTGTTGGAGGACTGGTGCTCTGGAAGTAGATTTGCCTTCGTATCAATGAGGAGTAAGGGAGGGCAGGTGCTGAAGTTTTTTTTTTTTTTTTTTTTTTATTATGTTATGTTAATCACCATATATTACATCATTAGTTTTTGATGTAGTGTTTCATGATTCATTGTTTGCTTATAACACCCAGTGCTTCATTCAGTATGAGCCCTCTTTAATACCCATCAAGAGGCTAACCCATCCCCCACCCCCCTCCTCTCTAGAACCCTCAGTTTGTTTCTCAGAGTCCATAATTTCTCATGGTTCATCTCCTGCTCCGATTTCCCCCCCTTCATTTTTCCATTCCTGCTATCTTCTTCTTTTTTTATTTTTTTTAACATATAATGTATAATTTGTTTCAGAGGTACAGGTCTGTGATTCAACAGTCTTAATTCACAGCGCTCACCATAGGACATACCCTCCCCAATGTCTATCACCCAGCCACTCCATCCCTCCCACCTCCCACCACTCCAGCAACACTCAGTTTGTTTCCTTAGATTAAGAATTCCTCATATCAGTGAGATCATATGATACTTACCATTCTCTGATTGACTTACTTCGCTCAGCATAACACCCTCCAGTTCTATCCACGTCATTGCAAATGGCAAGATTTCATTCCTTTTGATGGCTGCATAATATTCCATTGTGTATATATACCACATCTTCTTATCCATTCATCTGTCGATGGACATCTGGATTCTTTCCACAGTTTGGCTATCGTAGACATTACTGCTATAAACATCGGGGTGCACATACTCCTTCAGATCACTACATTTGTATCTTTGGGGTAAATACCCAGTAGTGCGATTGCTGGGTCGTAGGGTAGCTCTATTTTCAACTTTTTGAGGAACCTCCATACTGTTTTCCAGAGTGGCTGCACCAACTTGCATTCCCACCAACAGTGTAGGAGGGTTCCCCTTTCTCCGCATCCTCACCAACATGTGTTGTTTCCTGACTTGTTCATTATAGCCATTCTAACTGGTGTGAGGTGGTATCTCATTGAGGTTTTGATTTGGATTTCCCTGATGCTGAGCGATGTTGAGCACTTTTTCATGTGTCTGTTGGCCATTTGGATGTCTTCTTTGGAAAAATGTCTGTTCATGTCTTCTGCCCATTTCTTGATTGGATTATTTGTTCTTTGGGTGTTGAGTTTGATAAGTTCTTTCTAGATTTTGGAAACTAGCCCTTTATCTGATATGTCATTTGCAAATATCTTCTCCCATTCTGCCAGTTGTCTTTTGGTTTTGTTGACTGTTTCTTTTGCTGTGCAAAAGCTTTTTATCTTGATGAAGTCCTAATAGTTCATTTTTGCCCTTGCTTCCCTTGCCTTTGGCAATGTTTCTAGGAAGAAGTTCCTGTGGCTGAGGTCAAAGTGGTTGCTGCCTATGTTCTCCTTTATGATTTTGATGGGCTCCTGTCTCACATTGAGGTCTTTCAACCATTTTGAGTCTATTTTTGTGTGTAATGTAAGGAAGTGGTCCAGTTTCATTCTTCTGCATGTGGCTGTCCAATTCCCAACACCATTTGTTGAAGAGACTTTTTTCATTGGACATTCTTTCCTGCTTTGTCGAAGATTAGTTGACCATAGAGTTGAGGGTCCATTTCTGGGCTCTCTATTCTGTTCCATTGATCTAAGTGTCTGTTTTTGTGCCAGTACCATACTGTCTTGATGGTTACAGCTTTGTAATAGAGCTTGAAGTCCGGAATTGTGATGCCACCAGCTTTGCTTTTCTTTTTCAATATTCCTCTGGCTATTCAGGGTGTTTTCTGGTTCCATACAAATTTTAGGATTATTTGCTCCATTTCTTTGAAAAAAGTTGATGGTATTTTGATAGGGATTGCATTAAATGTGTAGATTGCTCTAGGTAGCATTGACATCTTCACAATATTTGTTCTTCCAATCCATGAGCATGGAACATTTTTCCATTTCTTTGTGTCTTCCTCAATTTCTTTCATGAGTATTTTATAGTTTCCTGAGTACAGATTCTTTGCCTCTTTGATTAGATTTATTCCTAGGTATCTTATGGTTTTGGGTGCAGTTGTAAATGGGATCAACTCCTTAATTTCTCTTTCTTCTGTCTTGTTGTTGGTGTATAGGAATGCCACTGATTTCTGTGCATTGATTTTATATCCTGACACTTTACTGAATTCCTGTATGAGTTCTAGCAGTTTTGGGGTGAAGTCTTTTGGGTTTTCCACATAAAGTATCCTATCATCTGCAAAGAGTGAGTTTGACTTCTTCTTTGCAGATTCGGATGCCTTTTATTTCTTTTTGTTGTCTGATTGCTGTGGCTAGGACTTCTAATACTATGTTGAACAACAGTGGTGATAGTGGACATCCCTGCCGTGTTCCTGACCTTAGGGGGAAAGCTCTCAGTTTTTCCCCATTGAGAATGATATTCACTGTGGGTTTTTCATAGATGGCTTTTATGATATTGAGGTATGTACCCTCTATCCCTACACTGTGAAGGGTTTTGATCAAGAAAGGATGCTGTACTTTGTCAAATGCTTTTTCTGCAACTATTGAGAGGATCATATGGTTCTTGTTCTTTCTTCTATTAATGTATTGTATCACATTGATTGATTTGCGGATGTTGAACCAACCCTGCAGCCCAGGGATAAATCCCACTTGGTCATGGTGAATAATCCTTTTAATGTACTGTTGGATCCTCTTGGCTAGTATTTTGGTGAGAATTTTTGCATCCAGGTTCATCAAGGATATTGGTCTGTAATTCTTTTTGGTGGGGTCTTTTTTGATTTTGGGATTAAGGTAATGGTGGCCTCATAAAACGAGTTTGGAAGTTTTCCTTCCATTTCTGTTTTTTGGAACAGTTTCAGAAGAATAGGTATTAATTCTTCTTTAAATGTTTGGTAGAATTCCCCTGGGAAGCCATCTGGTCCTGGGCTTTTTGTTGGGAGATTTTTGATGACTGCTTCAATTTCCTTAGTGGTTATAGGTCTGTTCAGGTTTTCTATTTCTTCCTGGTTCAGTTTTGGTAGTTGATACATCTCTAAGAATGCATCCATTTCTTCCAGGTTATCTAATTTGCTGCCATAGAGTTGCTCATAATATGTTCTTATAATTGTTTGTATTTCTTTGGTGTTGGTTGTGATCTCTCCTCTTTCATTCATTATTTTATTTATTTGGGTCCTTTCTCTTTTCTTTTTGATAAGTCTGGCCAGGGGTTTATCAATCTTGTTAATTCTTTCAAAGAACCAGCTCCTAGTTTTGTTGATCTGTTCTTCTGTTCTTTTGGTTTCTATTTCATTGATTTCTGCTCTGATCTTTATTATATCTCTTCTTCTTCTGGGTTTAGGCTTCATTTGCTGTTCTGTCTCCAGCTCCTTTAGGTGTAGGGTTAGGCTGTGTATATGAGACCTTTCTTGTTTCTTGAGTAAGGCTTGTTTTGTTATATACTTTCCTCTTAGGGCTGCCTTTGCTGCATCCCAAAGATTTTGAACAGTTGTGTTTTCATTTTCATTTGTTTCCATGATTTTTTAAAAATTCTTCTTTAATTTCCTGGTTGACTCATTCATTCTTTAGTAGGATGCTCTTTAGCCTCCATGTATTTGAGTTCTTTCTGACTTTCCTCTTGTGATTGAGTTCTAGTTTCAAAGCGTTGTGGTCTGAAAATATGCAGGGAATGATCCCAATCTTTTGGTACCGGTTGAGACCTGATTTGTGACCTAGGATGTGATTTATTCTGGGGAATGTTCCATAGGCACTAGAGAAGAATGCGTATTCTGTTGCTTTAGGATGGAACGTTCTGAATATATCTGTGAAGTCCATTTGGTCCAGTGTATCATTTAAAGTCTTTATTTCCTTATTGATCTTTTGCTTAGACGATCTGTCCATTTCAGTGAGGGAGGTGTTAAAGTCCCCCACTATTATTGTATTGTTGTCGATGTGTTTCTTTGCTTTTGTTATTAATTGGCTTATATAATTGGCTGCTCCCATGTTAGAGGCATAGAGATTTACAATTGTTAGATCTTCTTGTTGGATAGACCCTTTAAGTATGATATAGTGTCCTTCCTCATCTCTTATTATAGTCTTTGGTTTAAAATCTAATTTGTCTGATATAAGGATTGCCACCCCAGCTTTCTTTTGGTGTCCATTAGCATGGTAAATGTTTTTCCACCCCCTCCCTTTCAATCTGGGGATGTCTTTGGGTCTCAAATGAGTCTCTTACAGACAGCATATCGATAGGTCTTGTTTTTTTATCCAATCTGATAGCCTGTGTCTTTTGATTGGGGCATGTAGCCCATTTACATTCAGGGTAACTGTTGAAAGATATGAATTTAGTGCCATTGTATTGCCTGTAAGGTGACTGTTACTGTGTATTGTCTGTGTTCCTTCCCG